GGTGTATCCATATAAATGGCCCACCCTGTATAACGAGCCAGGAAAGAGTAACTTTCCAAGCCCTTGGGACATTAACAAATACTTAAATCTTACTTTTGCACACTTCTCCTTGAAGAAAATATCAGCCTGAAACATTATAACAACTGAGGTACATTTGTTCCAGCTTCATCATCGCCAGAAACCAACACACAGCCTTGACTTTGTTTTTACAAACAGATTCAATTATTCCTGCTGTGTTCATAGAGAGAGAATACTGTTGCTTATCTGATTACACCCTCTCTCTCTCTAAGACACCTTTTTCTCATCTAGGCACTCTCCCATTACTCAGGACTGTAGAACAACACAGTGAAATTTAAGTTTGTTTTTTTCCCCCCTTGGACTTAATTTTTCTGTGGTGGAAAATATTACAGCATCAAACAAGACATCCCCACCCCCATTGTCTCAGTGTTGAGAAAAATGATGATCCATCGACCTTTCTGTCTCTTAGCTTAACACACTGCCTTCAGACTTGAAAACTGGACATACTTGGACATCCAGCTCTCTTATGATTTCACACATTAAACTTGGATCAGTTTGAAAGTAAAAGTTTGCTCTCCATGCAAGTTTGAGGTCTGTGGTGAAATCGTGCACTTTACAGGTGGTCAGAGCTGGACTTTAAAGGAAAATAGCAGCCTCGTACACTACCCCTTAGCCTCCTAGCAGACACACCTACAGTATAAATTTCAAAATCCTAAGTCACCTTGTTCTGACGTTATAAGATTTTCAGAAAACTTACTCTGAACTTCAGGTCAAGGCCACAGAGATTCAAACTCATCCAAGATTTTTAGTAGATGCACCTATGATATCAATTTAAAGTCCCTACATCGTCTCGTTCTCGAGTTATCGCATTCATAAACTTAGGTGTCCTGAGTTCAACTAATCAAGATGGCATAAACAAAAGAAGAAATAATAATCAATTGAAACAATTTTATTTGACTTGTAGCATCATCAGAGGCATCAAAAACTCTCTGATGGAGGTGGTTGATCCTAAACACGTTCATATATTAAAATATTTTTAATATTCTGATGCGAGAAATGCAAGTGGGACCAGCTTTGTTCAGAGATGCTGAGGGAGTGTGCAGTGTGGGAGTTCAGTTGACTTCCAATGTTTGAACCTATAGCCATTTTTAGACCACCACCAAATAAAGGTTTTATGACACAACTCCATTAAATTAATAGCACTGGTAATTACCAAAACCATTTTTATGTGTCTGTAATGGTTAATCCACCTGTAAGTGGAAGCATTTTAATGCTCTCTTTAAATTTGTTAAGCACTGTAGCTCATTTGACTGGATGTCAGTATACTTTGATATCACAGTCAATACACCACCCAGGTATTTAAAACCAGGACACCTGTTTGATGCCAGTCAATGCCCATTGTTATCATTTAAATATCATTTATAATCCCTTTTCTCTCTGAAGACTTCTGTCTTTTTCCATTGTTCATCAACCTCAATGGATTTTGCTAAATGCTATTGCCTGTCAGTCTTCTTCTGTTCTTGTTATACTGCATGAGAGTTGTAACAAGCTTAATAATATAAAAAAAGCATCTTTTTAGTAAGGTTTTAACATGCAAAGTAATTAACGCCCCCCTCTAAGAGTGATACCAATTATCAACGATGAGGTAAAACATTTCTCTCATATTTCAGTGGTCATTTTACTTAAATCCTACTTACATATCACATATATTATAGTTTCCCTAAAGCCTCTACTGGTCTGAGCACAGCTTCACAGTTACCTGCAGCCATGAGGTCCTGACAGTGGATGTACGACGCCTTGAAGTCCAGACATTGCAGAGCTTGCTCTGCAAGCAGGGTCAGCACTTTGCCTTTTCTCATTGCTTCATCTTCCCCTAGGCATGCAAACACAGATATTCATTTATATTAGTACAAATGGATTTTTTTTTAAAGTCTTTTGAATTTGTTTTCTTAATCCTGACAAATGTCAACATTCAAAAACTAAACCGCAAATCTCATAAGGCTGCATATTACATACAGTATCTGTCTCAATGAATTTCATATTAAATTCCCCTCTGTGAGCAGACTCGCACACAGGCTCTAGGTTGAAAAAAAGAATATCCTCAAATATTAGCCGCACTGCAGTCAGGGCTTGAGACAACATAATAATTGTCTAACCACAAATGAGATTATTGCCATTTCTGTTCATCTCCAAAACAGGGTACGAAATAACAGTAAAAGTACCACCGCGCTAAAAGGAAATCAGAAATCAGAGTTTGATATCTCAGTGTTCGTGAGATTGAGCATGGTGTTAACATTCATGTGGCAGCTCAGGACAACCTTTGATCTGTGTGTAAGCTCTATAAACAAAAGGCAGAGGATGGGACGATCAAAAGAGGCATGGTCAGGAACAACTTCTGAATAAACCTGCGCGCTGAAGATCAAAGAACGGGCATTGAGATGAAGAAATGTGATGGCACTGAATTGGTCGGTGGCTGTTTGTTTGTGCGTGTGTGCGTGTGATGACAGAAATGCTGTGTTTACTGTGAAGGGAAAGAGGTGTTTGTCAAATATTTTCAGGGTGACTGGTGAAATGGCATCTTCAAAAGCTGTCAAGACCTCAATATAGAGAAGGTTTGTGTATGTGTGTGGCGGCACATCTTTGTTCACCCTGTGCTCTTTTCCACCATTTTTTTTTTTCTTTAAATCAAAACATTCCCTGGCATTTATTTCAAGTTGATCTAAAAATCAGACATCTTGGAAATCCAATTGAAACCTTTACCTGTCCTTGATGGTCCAACCAAAGACTCTAATGAAAATGTGCGAAAGAGGACAAATAGGAGCGTGTGTAGTTTAATCTAACTCTACAGTGGATTATAACAGTCATCTACCCAAGTCAGAAAAATTTGCTACATTTGAAATATTATAATTAGCGATTACTTCATACATAAACAACGTTTGCACCTCAACGCCATAAAATGAAATGATTCATGGATCACTTTTTTGCAGGGGCAGGAACCGAACCCTGAGGGTTTTTAACCGGCGTGCTGGTGATACCTGCATTAAATATTCACCACAGAGCCCCAGAGCTACGCACCCTTCAAAAGCCTCCCTCCTGCATTTATTTATTTAAAATTTTGTTTATTGCTCTTCTCATCTCCCTTTGCCTCTTTTTTCCCGCCCTTTCTGAAACCACACAGCGAGGGTTTCCTGCTGACAGAATGTGAGCAGCACAGACACAGAAATGCCACAAGACCAGTTAGCAGGTTTCCTTTAGCTGGTGACAGGCCTCAGAGAGAAACGACAGGACTATGAATCCAAGAGACAGAAGACAAAATAGGGAAGAAGCATGAAAGACTGACTCTTTTTTGTGTGTCTGTCTATCTTATATTCTTAAAAGATGAACAGTAAACACGGGCACAGAGGCAGACGTAAAGTTTGTGCAGTTTGTGCAGTTTGTGCAGAAAAAGGACATCTTGGTTTTCCCCATAGTTGGTTTTTACTTTTTCAGCATTGGAAAAGTGGGGGTTGGAACTAAAATGGTCAAAGTATACAAGCTTCTACTATTCATGTTTTTTTTCTTGTAGTTCTCTTTCAAAAAAATAAATAAATAAATTTGAAAGCACTGCAGTCGGCATGTCACATCTTGTGTATTAAATGGATTCCATTACCGTGTTGCCACATTTGCTAAAAATACAGCTCAGCGGTCTGAAAAACATGCAGGAGATATGAAAAATACCACAAAAACATAAAGAATTAAATTGCTTTTGGTATTACTGCAAATACACTGCACAAGGATTTTTCGAGTCGAGAGTCTGTAAACGTGGTAATTCCTGAGGAAATTAAACATGACGGGATGAAGGACAGGGTAGAGTCAGACGATTTGAGGGAACGTATAGAGGAAGAGTGAAAATCTTAAGGAAATTAAACCTCTTTGCTGACACGTAGTACATTAACCTTGTTTGATTTGTGACTGTAGTTTTTGCTTTAAGAGCTGCGTTTCACATGGAAGGATTTGCAATGTGCACTGAGAATAAACTCCATTTCATTTCCCATTTTCTCGCACCTACTGCACATTCATTAGCAGTCAAAGACGTGCTAGGTTATGCAAAATAATTGGACTGAAGTCTGTCCTTTGGCTCAGTCTTTAGGCATAGCTCTT